TATAGAAAACAAACAGCCGTTTAAATCCTCCGTATCAGTAAACTCACATCCCGTATAAAGTACACACGCGTTATTAGAAAATAATCGAGTCAGCTACAGTTATGCTTTTCTGACATCGCACCTGGAAGCTTTTAATATTTTCTTTTTGTTCATTAAGAGCGCATCTTTCACGGCCATCCGGCACGAGTGTCTATTGCTTATTGCAGCTACGTGCCCAATCTCGAGTCGTTTTAGCAGAAACCTTTTCTTATTTCCGAGAATTCTTTTTATAAGCACGTATAAGTACATGTATCCGTGTTAATATGCAAACAAATGCTATCTCTCTCATTTCCTAACCGATTTAGAATTTTCCTCAAACAAAAAGCCTCGGCAAGAAAGTATCGAATCTATTTTTAATAATGTGTCCCAAATGTATTTTTATTTTTTCAACTTTATCTTATCAATTCTTTATATGTAAATACATCACTAAATGATCTCGAGAAATTAAAAAGGGATAAAAAATTTATTTTGTATCATCAATAACGTAAAAAAATTCTCATTAAAGCAAGATTTGCTCAAGATTATCCAGAAAATCAAGCTTTTTGTCGTTTTGTCAATTTTTCTATTTTTCATTTCCGTAAAACTAGAAAACTATTGACTACAGTTCAGAGATGGAGGCAATAATTCTCGTCAATTAAATGTATCGTGTAACAGAGCCTCTCTTTGCAACACCCCATATCAATGGGCACTCCAAATCGCAATCGTTTTGCGATTGCAATATTAAGTGCAATCAACATGCATGAATGCTGTTGCGTCAAAGTTTTACGAAACTGGAAAACGCAGCTGTCGAATTGTTTTTTGTCGAAGCTGTTTTTGCGTCAATCATTCAAGGTACTTATATATTGTCAGCAATGCTTGCATAATATTGATCATTTCTCTCGTCAATTTCGCATGTTTATGTTAAATATAACACGCTTTTGGTACAACGAAAATTACATACGGACGATCGTTACGTTTTACACAAAGGGAAAAAAAAAAAAACGTTAAGTTGATTCTTTATTTTATCGAACGTCACAAAAGGAAGTTCACACGATTTGCACTCGCGTTATAAACGTTATATTCATGTACAATCTTCCCGCTTATTTTTAGCGATATGTGTGACATTTCTTCTTATAATATGATTTCTTTTCCATGAATCTCAGTGAAACGTACGCGAAGGAAGAAATTGCATTCGCCAGAACGTGTAAAGTATACTTGCCTTGTTACTTTTATATATATATATATATATATAT